GAGAGCTTGAGATCTACCCTGGAAACTGCTAGGCTTTACAAATGAGGACGCTATTCCCCGCCCCCAGAACCGGTTGCCAAATATTTACGGGCACAGCGCTGGGTGTCCCTCACTGTGCCCAGCTCAGCTTATGTGGCTCAAGTTGTGGGGCCACGTGTTCCTGCCCCAGGAATGGGGACAAGCCCGGAACAGCGTGCAGAAACTATTCCTTGGGCGTCCCTAAGTTAGTAGGATGTAAGTTAGGAGCAGGTGATAGCCTGTTTGTCACCACAGAGAGACTGGCTGAGAAGGAAACCAACACAGGAGAAAGCAAGGTGGAAAGATGGAAACCGATTCTTTCTGTTTTTTTTTTTTTTTAAATTTGTTTTAACGTTTATTTATTTTTGAGAGACAGAGAGGGACAGAGCGTGAGCAGGGGAGGGGCAGAGAGAGAGGGACACAGAGAATCCGAAGCAGGCTCCAGGCTCCGAGCTGTCAGCACAGAGCCTGACGTGGGGCTTGAACTCACGAACCGTGAGATCGTGACCTGAGACGAAGTCGGTGCTTAACTGACGGAGCCACCCAGGTGCCCCAATTCCTCAACATTTTTAAGACTTGAAACTAAAAGAATACGCCCAATTTGTGGAAAGATCCCTGGATTAGAAACCCAGGGATTTGTTTCCCAGTTCAGAATTTCCCACAACTGTGGGCAAAACGTCTCACTTCTCTGGGCCTCAGTTTCCTTTTCCGGATTAAGATGCTGAGGCTAAATGAGTTCGGTAGCGCCTTCCACTACCCCACATTCTAGGATTGCATTTTAAACACATAGCACAGGGGCGCCTGGGTGGCTCAGTCAGTTGAGCGTCTGACTTCAGCTCAGGTCATGATCTCACAGCTCGTGAGTTCGAGCCCCGTGTCAGACTCTGTGCTGACAGCTCGGAGCCTGGAACCTGCTTCCAATTCTGGGCCTCCCTCTTTCTCTGCCCTTCTCTTGCTCGGGCTCTGACTCTCTCTCTCTCTCAAGAATAAAACATTAAAACAAAAAAACACATAGCACAAAGTATTTGCTCTAGGATTCTCAAATCTTCTCTCACCAAAGCGAACAAAATCCTTGGATAAATTGTCACAGTCTAGAAAGGCTCATATTTTCTTTCTTTCTTTCATTTTTTTTTTTTTTTTGCAACCCAGGAGAAAGTGCTAAGAGGTGAAAACGGGAATACACGACAAGAGGCTTCACCCTGAAAGAAGACGGAGAGTGAGAGCCTGAGAGATGTTTGCTGTGCGGGAAGGAAGCTTCTCACTCTTCCTTCAGCAGCCTGTGAGGCCAGGCGCTAATTAAATTAATAAAAAGGCATTTTGTTCAAACATGTGTCCCACACCTGCTGTGTCACCAGGCACAGGTTGCTTGCCTGTTGTGACGGAACTGTTTTACTGCTTAACAATGAAGGCAAAAAGCAAATAGCGCGAGGGAGAAGTAGAATTGTAGCCAATATGTCCCTGATTTCCCCAACAAATGCCTATTAATTTGGGATGACACATTAGGAAAACACTCATTTCGAATTTGACAATTCTCAATTATTTAGGGCGTGACAGTTTTGTTTAATAGTTACTGTAATTACTAGAAATAACATCCTGTCCTCACCCAATTAAGGACGAGGATGATAAATTGAGAAATTATAGCTTATAAAAATAAAGCTTCGGATACAAACAAGGAACGCATTCATCTCTCCGTGATGATGCTCTTTCCTGAATGGTCTGGAGGTCATTTATCGGCAGTCATTTTAAGAAGTTCTAGTAACATCCCGTCTTCCATCTGAAAGCAGATACCTGGGTTTTTGTTCGAGGAAGATACATTGAAAAAATCCTAGCTGTAGCTACATTTTATGTTAAAAATGGGCATACCCCGATATATTATCATTTGATTTTGTTGAGAAAAAAAAAAAAAAAAAAAAAAAAATCCAACTTAAGGATTTATTTCCCGCTCATCTAGAAATCGGGGCAGAATGTTCAAGTCCAGCCAGAAGGTGCTCCGTGGTGTCCAGGCCAGGCCCTTCCCAATTCATTGCTCTGCTGTGCGCGGCCTCTGCACTCAGGCTGATCTCACGGTTCCAGATAAAGTTGTACCCAACTTCCTCTTATATCTTACTGGCAACGCTTCGCCACATGACATCATCACTAGCAGGTGGGGACATGAGGTCCCTATTCCAGGCAGCCGTGCACAGAGCTCAGAATTGCGTGTTCTATTAATATAGAGCAAACTATAATTAATATAGTTGCCTATTAATATAGGGCAAACTCTTTCTGTTAAGGGTCAGATAGAAAATATTTTAGGCTTTCTGAGCTCAGCTACTTAACTCTGCTGTTGCGTGTGAAAGCAGCCACAGATGTTACGCATATGAACGCTCGTGGCTGCGTTCTAATGCCACCTTATTTATGAGAACAGGCGATTGGCTGGATTTGGGCCCCAGGCTGACCCTTCCTAAAGAAGACGAATAAAACAGGGGCGCCGGGGTGGCCCCGTCGGTTCAGTGTCCGACTTCAGCTCAGGTCACGGTCTCACGGTTCACGAGTTCGAGCCCCGCATCGGGCTCGGTGCCGACGGCTCGGAGCCTGGAGCCCGCTTCGGAGTCTGTGTCTCCCTCTCTCTCTCTGCCCCTCCCCTGCCCGCGCTCTGTGTCTCTCTCTTTCTCTCAAAAATAAATACACGTTAAGAAGATGGGTAAAACAGATCCTGGGGAAAGCTAGAACTTCTACACCAGGTAGCAGAGATATTAGCAACATTAACTTCGGCAAGTCCCTTCCTCCCCCCCCCCCGCCCCCGGGCCCCCCCCCCCTTTTAGTATGGTTAGCGCCAGTAACTAATTTAAATCAACAAAATGACGCCGTGCAGGGCACATTTGCTCAAGGCTCTCGTTGAGAGACTAGTTGGTAAATTTCTTTTTTTTTTTTTTTTTTTTAATTTTTTTTTTTTTCAACGTTTATTTATTTTTGGGACAGAGAGAGACAGCATGAACGGGGGAGGGGCAGAGAGAGAGGGAGACACAGAATCGGAAACAGGCTCCAGGCTCCGAGCCATCAGCCCAGAGCCCGACGCGGGGCTCGAACTCACGGACCGCGAGACCGTGACCTGGCTGAAGTCGGACGCTTCACCGACTGCGCCACCCAGGCGCCCCAAGAGAGACTAGTTGGTAAATTTCAATTATGCTTTTATTTGTCACGCTGACTGTTCTTTTACTAGGCAAACCTCCTGCCTTGTTTTTCGCCTTGGTGACAGAATGGCTGTTGTCTCAACCCAGGGCCTGGGAGAAGGAAGATGCCATGAGGTGGGCCGAGTGTCCCGAAGAGAACACAGAGGACACGCTGAGAGAATTCCCTGAGACAAGGATTGTGGCTTTCCCCTTCTCCTTGGCAGATGGGACAGGCCTGTGATCGTGCACTTAATTACATGTCACTTTAAGATACAGAGTCTCCCCGGTGGACACGGAGAAGAGACAGGGGCACCCTGGAGAGCTCTCACTGGAGCAAAGTAAACCCTGTAGGAGATGGATCAGAATTGATTGTGGTAGTTAATTATATTTACCAGTGAGCTTCGTTTTACCTTTTATTTCGTAAATTTTGTCTTTTTCCTGGATTCGAGGAGAGCAGGAGAGCACACGGTTTAACTCGTCAAATGTAATAAATAAATATATAAATCCAGGAATGAGTGTCTCCCATCACCCACCCCTCCCAGTCTCTTCCAGACTTTTTTTTTTTTAAGATCTCATTTTCCGGGGGCGCCTGGGTGGCTCCGTGGGTTAAGCGGCCGACTTCGGCTCAGGTCACGATCACGCGGTCCGTGAGTTCGAGCCCCGTGTCGGGCTCTGGGCGGACCGCTCAGAACCTGGAGCCTGTTTCGGATTCTGTGTCTCCCTCTCTCTGACCCTCCCCCATTCATGCTCTGTCTCTCTCTGTCTCAAAAATAAATAAACGTTGAAAAAAAAATTTAAAGATTTCAGTTTTCGTAAGTTTATTTTTATTTATTTTGGAGAGAGAGATAGAAAGCAAGCAGGGGAGGGGCAGAGACAGAATCCAAAGCAGGTTCCACGCTGTCACCACAGAGTCTGATAACGGGGCTCAAACTCATGAACCGTGAGATCATGGCCTGAGCCGAAATCAAGAGTCGGACGCTTAAGCGACTGAGCCACCCAGACGCTCCTAAGATTTCATTTTTGCAAGTAATCTCCACATCCAATGAGGGGCTCAGACTTACAACCTAGAGTTAAGAGTCGCACGCTCCACCGACTGAGCCAGCCAAGCGCTCTCCAGATGTTTCTATACGCCTTTCCTAACGATCAGTGTGCCAGGACGGTGAGGTCACAGTAGCCTCTGTTGCTACTAGAACTCTCAAAAGTGAGGGAAGCGGGGTGCCTGGGTGGCTCAGTCGGTTGAGCATCTGACTTCGGCTCAGGTCATGATCTCACGGTTCGTGGGTTCAAGTCCCGCGTCGGGCTCTGTGCTGACAGCTCAGAGCCTGGAGCCCGCTTCAGATTCTGTGTGGGCCTCCTCCTTGCACTCTCTCTGTCTCTCAAAAATAAATAAACGTTTAAAAATGTTAATGAAAAAAACGAGGTAAGCTATTCTGTAAACGGGCTTCCTAGTTCCTTTCCCTTCATTTAAGATCTTTAGTAGAGGAATATTAAGCTTCAAGATCTTCCTTTTTCCTAGTACTGACTACTGTGAAAGCCACTTTTAGCACTTCCCCAAATCCTAATTTTGTGTCCGGTACAGAAGATACTTTAATTAGACGGGCCCACATTTTTACCACACGGATTTGAGACTAGAGGGATAGGTAGACTGTCCACATCTATATCTATCTATCTATCTATTTTAATGTTTATTTATTTTTGAGAGACAGAGCATGAGTAGGGAGGGGCAGAGAGAGAGAGAGAGAGAGATACACACAGAATCCGAAGCAGGCTCCAGGCTCTGAGCTGTTAGCACAGAGCCCGACGTGGGGCTCGAACTCACAAGCCGTGAGATCATGACCTGAGCTGAAGTCGGACACTTCACCGTCTGAGCCACCCAGGTGCCCCTACCTTTCCACATCTATAAACGGCAACTTAGAAAGTGAGAATAGAACAGTGGAGCTAAAAAGAACTTAAGAGATCATTTAGTCCAAATTCCTTAATTACAGAGAGGAAGTGAGAGTCAGAGAAGGAGAGTGATGTGCCCTGGATTGCACAGCTAATTAATAATCGAATTCAGTGGAAACTCAGGTCTTCTAGGCCACAGAAACACTCAAAGGTCCACCCTGGTTCCCAGCAGGCTGGACTCCCAGTGGGTGTGGAAACTTTCTAGCAGATGGGGAGCGGGGGGACCACGGCCGGCCCCTGGTCAGGCATTAAGATATCTGGCTTCTCTATTTCTTCCTGCAAAAGCGGTACATGAGGAGAACCTTCACTTCTTCTGGAAAGGCCCTCTGTTCCTGGGACAGGGACCCAGCGTGGTGGCTGCATGGAGACCTGTCCGAGACAAGTGGACAGTATACAATGTAAGAAGCACAAGGTGGTCCTCACTAGGATGTCTGGGCCTGCCTCTGTAACATTCTTATCTCTGGGTTTTTCACGTGATCTCACTGAATTACCCCCGAATCCAGAATGCATTTCATTTACTTTGGTGAAGTATGGCAGTTTTTGGAAGAAAGGAAATGAATCAAGTTTAGATCAAACAAAAAGGTTACCAACACTTCCCACAAGGTTGGTGATTACTAAGAATTAAAAATTCAGATTAAGGGGGCGCCTGGGTGGCTTAGTCAGTTGAGCGTCTGACTTCGGCTCAGGTCATGATCTCACAGTTTGTGAGTTCGAGCCCTGAGTCGGGCTCTGTGTTGACAGCTCAGAGCCTGGACCCTGCTTTGGATTCTGTGTCTCCCTCTCTCTCTGCCCCTCCCCAGCTCAGACTCTGTCTCTGTCTGTCTCTCTCTCAAGAATAAATAAACATTAAAAAAAAAAATTGGATTAATATATATGGTAGTGTAGCTTCATAAGGGACATAAATGTCTAGTATATTCTAACATGTGTATTAATTTCCAGGGTCATCTTCATAAATGGGTAAAGCTTCCATAGATTCATAGGAACATATGGCCATGTATTCATATTATGTATACATAATATACATATGTAATACACACACACATATATATACAAATATATACCTATATATTTATAGAATACATATTTATTACATATATATTGCATATATGTACTCACATATGGGACATATATTAATATGAATATGTTATTTATATGTATATATCACATGTATATATTACATAATATACATATGTTATGCATACATAATATGTATATGTGTGTGTATCCTTATATACACATCCATATATTTATATGCAAATGTGGAAATTTTACCCATTTATGAAGATGGCCTTGGAAATTAATAAACATGTTGGGACATACTAAGTATTTATATATATATATATATGCACATACATACAAACATACACATATACATGCATATATTAATAGATAACATATGCATATATGCAAACCCTTCTTTCTCAATATATGAGAATCCTGTGGGATCCCTCTCCCTTCACATGCATATATATGTGTGTATGTTGTATACCTTTCTCTTTCTTATTTTTTTTCTTTTCTTTTTCCTCAAGAAGAGGAAGGGAGAGAACAAAGAGAGGAGGGTTGACCAAAAAATGTTCACACATTAATAAGAGAAGAATAAATGCTTAATCATAATAGTTAATGACACACACCCTTTTAAAATCTCATCTGTTTTCGCCTAAAGGAAAGATATTGTAAAAGAACATTCTAAAATGAAAGAAACTCTTTTTTCTGTTTTCTAAAACCAACAAAGGCTACCTTGTATTGAAAGTCATTATGGCAAAAGCATTAGGAAGGAAGGACCATTTAAAGTTAAATCTGTCATTAATTTACTAACTCCTCACTTGAATCTCATAAATAATTTTAAGTAGAAAAGGTTGTCCAATGTGATTAAGGCCATTATTTCATGCTGACGTAGCCCACAGGCTTTTCTAGGGTAAAAATCTCTCCATAAAAAGAAGAACTAAGGTTTCTTCAAGGTTAAGGGTCTTTGGAGCCTATTCCGTGAGATATATTACCGTAGAGATGATGGAGTGTGTAGAAGTCGTCTGAGAAGATTACACCAGGCTTCCCAAGGTGAGAGGTATCTGAACGAAAACAGATTATATTATTTTAAGAAGATTTGCTGGTGTTCGATTTCCCAAATGAATCATAATGCTGTCTGCTTCCTAAAAACCTAACATCTGTATTGAGAAAATGATAGCCTTGGTGTCATTTAGTTCATTCAACAAATATTTATTGAACACGTCCTGTGTGCCAGACAGATTTCTGGGTTCTTGGGATCCAGCAGTGAACCAGATGAAGTCCCTGCCCCCAAAGACCTCATAACCTAATGGGAGGCAACGAAAAGATAAGGCAATGAATGTAAAAGCCAGCAGAGCTCCTACTCCATCAAGAAACAGACAAGTAGGCCATGAAAAGCTCCGTGGCGAGCTTGTTGGACAAGGAGAGGATTGAGAGGAGACAGGCTGTCTTTCCAGAGCAAGTGATGTTGAGCTGAGACCCGAAGGCTGAGGGGGAGCTGGTACAGCCAATGTAGGTGGGGGTCTGAGGTGGAGGGAAGGAAGGAGTGTTGCCGGCCAGATCACGCGGGACCTTGTAGACCGCGTTCGGGAATTTGAAATTTATTTTCAGAGCAGCGGGAAGCCACCGTGGAGTTTTTAGTAGCCAAGTGACCTGGTCAAATTTTGTTTCATAAGATCCTCTTGATGGGAGTTGGAGGAGGGACAAGACCCCAGATAGGAAGGGCATCAGGATTCAGCCAGGGAAGAGACAACAGCACATGGCCCAGCTCTGGAGAGTGGCAGCGAGAGCTAAGACAAGAGCCAGTACCTTCCTTGTGCCAAATATTCTTCTAAGTGCTCACATGCACCATCTCCTTGAATCTTCGTAGCATCCTCACCAGGAAGGTCTATTATTACCACCTACGTTCCGTAAATGGGGAAAACACAGAGAGGCTGAGTTACTTGCATAACCAAGTGGTAGATGTGGGACTTGAATCTACTTCAGCTGGCTGCAAGTTTAACCACTTCCCTACAGATCTCTCTCAAGAGGGAGGCTCATTAGAGGGATATTGAGAAAGTGGACTTGAGAGCGTTCAGTGACTGCGGTTCAGAGTCATGAGGAAGGATGATGCCCGGGCGGGGGTGGTATTGCCTTCCAATGGGAGGAGAATGGAAGGTTTTGGGGGGGTGGGTGGGGGATGGGGGCGAGGGGGAGGTGTCCAGTTGAATTACAGATCTAGTGCTCCAGTGCCAGTTCTGGACTGGAAGTGTAGACTTGGGAGTCCTCTCAACCTGATCGTAATTAGACTCAAGGGAGTAGACGAACTTACCTAGCGAGAGTGTGTACGGTGACCGGAGAAGATAGCTTAGCGCCCCCCGAAGACTCCAACACGTAGGGAATGGGTGACTTGAAAAAGACTGACAGGATGTACCCAGAGAAGTCAGAGAAAATCAGAGGACTTGGTCGTCATCGAAATCAAGGTGATGTTTCCAGAAGTCGAGGACTGCTGGGCAGGGTCAGATGCTGTCCAGCAAGGTGAGGACTCCTCTGGGCTTAACAGCAATGAGGTCCCTGGTGAGAACACTGTAGCGGACCGGTGGTAGTAGGCGGACTGCGGTGGGGAACGAAGATAATGAGCGTAGGAGCGAGGTGGTTGGGGAAGGGGACATGGGGAAAGGGGGAGGAAGTTGGTTTGATTTTTAAATACAGGAACCACCTGTGTTCTCCTCGGGTGCTGATGGCAAGGAGGTGGCTCAGAAAAAAATGACAGATGGAGCAGAGAGGGGACCAAACAAAGAACGGGCTCTTTGAGACGAGGTGGAGTTTAGAGTCCGGCCGGGGTGGGTGTGGAGGCGGATGTGTCCACAGGCTTGGTGGTGGGTGGTCAAGGGCTTTCCTGTTAGAGGCATTGACTTCATAAAGGGGAGGTGTGTTGAGGTCAGAAGCGTGAGGGGGGGAGAAGCATGAGTCAACTGGAGCAGCAGCCCTGTGAGAGAGCAGATCGCAGGCAACACAGAGGGCCCCGTGGAGTCTGGCAGTCATGAATTTATGGTGGCACCAGTCTGTGAGGTCATCTGATCTCAAGCAGAGTTCAGCAGCCCAGGTGTACAAAGAACTCAGAAACTGTGGCATGATCCGAGGTGAGGTTTTTCCGGGTGTTTGGGGAGGGTGGACGATACAAGACGACGAAGCAAGAGAGGTGGGGGTCCGCGAGGGCCTGGCTGAGGGGGCAGATCGTGGAATCTCAGCTGGATGGGGAAAATAGGGAGCGAGGGGACAGATCCTTGCTCTGACTTTCTCATGGACTCTGTTACTTCGGGCAAATTGCCACAGATCTCTGGGATTCGGTCCCCCCCCCCCGCCCCCCGCTTGTAAGTGAGGGTGTTGGCTCGTTTGGTCAACATCCCTCCCAGTTCCAAAGTTCTGCGGTTCAATTTTGCAAAAATGCAGGCACTCTCAGGCCATGAGTGAGAAACAGCTGCCAGTTCTTTCTAATCACCAGGGTCAAAAGATCTGCACTATGCTGGAGAAGCACATTCCATTAATGTTTCGAGACCATCGATGCAACTCTTTAATTTTCTCATGCAAAGATGAAAAATGATTTAGGGCCCTTCCCCTAAATCAAGCCTAACCATCTCAGGGACGTTGGTGATCCAGCCCTGCTGTGTACTTCCCAATCTGCGGTTGATTCAATTAGATTCAACTTAAAAACAGATCGATGAGTGTCTACGCTGCATGAGATACCGAGACAGCAGTTGCAGGGGATACAAAGAGAGCTACAGTCCTTGCCCTGTTATAGTCTAGGAGGAAGAATAAGACCGGTTCAGAAATAAATGTGTTGGGATGTGAATCTTTCTTTTTTTTTTTTTAATTTTTTGTTTTCAACGTTTATTTATTTTTGGAACAGAGAGAGACAGAGCATGAACGGGGGAGGGGCAGAGAGAGAGGGAGACACAGAATCAGAAACAGGCTCCAGGCCCTGAGCCATCAGCCCAGAGCCTGACACGGGGCTCGAACTCATGGACCGCGAGATCGTGACCTGGCTGAAGTCGGACGCTTAACCGACTGCGCCACCCAGGCACCCCTGAATCTTTGTATTCAACTCAGGAAACCATTTCTTTCTATATTTCTCTCTAACAACGTAATTTCTGTTTTGAGCCTGCTTTTTACCAGATTGGAATAAACTCAGTGGGGGTCCCCACCATTTTGGGGGTCATGACTAATTCTCAGGACTTACATAATCTTAAGGCATCAGTTATGAGGTGCCTTTATGGTCCTCAATACTATCAGTCAGCACTATCCGTTGAAACATCCATTGTCCCCCTGTGGTTCTACATTATCAGTTCATGCAGGTGTCCGTAGGGACATAGTCATTTGCTCTGCATGGTCCCTTTAGGACTTTTTGTTTCTCTCTGCTACTTCTAGGCCTTTCTGGGCTACATGGTAATCACTAGGACTCTTCCCGGCATGCTTAAACACACCATTATGGACTGAATGTTTGTGTCCCCACTACCCCCACAATTTCTGTGTTGAAATCCTAACCCCCAAAATAATGGCACCAGGAGGTGGGGCCTTTGGGAGGTGATTAGGTCATGAGGGAAGAGCCCTCATGAATGGGATTAACACCCTTATAAAGGAGATCCCAGAGACTTCCCTCAATCCTCCTGCCACATGAGGACACATTGAGAAAACAGCCATCTGTGAACCGGGAAGTTGGGTTCTCGCCACATACCAAATCTTCTGGTGCTTTGATCCTGGACTTCCAACTTCTAGAACTCTGAACAATACGTTTCTGTTGTTTATAGGCCACCCGGTCTATGACACTTCATTATAGCAGCTCGAAAAGACTAAGACACACGCCCTCCATTAATTTTCCTCAGAGGATCTTACTACGTCCCCCAACGTCCTATGTGGAACAAGAGATCAAATGTCCCTCCAGGACCAATTGACATTTGGGCTCTCCTCTCCTCACTTGCCCTCCTTTTTTCCTTCTTACTTCCAGCCCTGAGCAAAGGGGAAAAAGAATGCAGGGAAACCGTGGGCCCCATCTCATACAAGGCAGAAATAGGGTGTGTTACGAGATAGACGAGCGCTGTGCTCTGGGATTCAAACTGAATCAATGGAGATATTCAGTTGCACAGGGAAGAAATGAACATTGGCTAACTGGAGAAAAGAAAAACACGGGGTTCATTCGAAGGATTCTGGGTAGCTCGCTGAAGAGGAAAGGGAGAGCTTAACAGATGCTTTGAGAATAACGGGAACCAGGCCAGTGGTGGTGGTTGCGACAGGAGGAATCCAGGAGTGTGGTGACCAAATGACTCAGCTCCAACCACCCTCCGACTGCTGTGTTACCACTCAGGAGAAGAGCCTCAGGAGGTTGGATCTGATTGGCGGAGGTTGGGTCACATGACGATACCTGTAGCCAAAGCTTCTCTACCTGGAAGTTCCAGCAGACCTAATGGAAAGGGGGAGAAGCCGAGCTCCAGAGAAGAGGGGAAGTACAGGAAAGTAGGGGTGGGTGGAGGTGAACAAAACGGCTAACGCCTGCTCAGGAGGAATGAGAACATCTCCGTTGAAGAAACCAGGCAAGTTGAGAGGAAAGGGCATTTGTGAAGGACTTGGAAGGTTGGGTGCTGACGGCCTAGAGACAGGTAATATGAGACTCTCAGAAACTATCTGAGAACAGTTTTGCTAGAGGTTAGTAAAGGAGTCAGGGAAGGAGACAAGGTTGATAGGGTTAAAAAGGTGGACTTTGGAGCCACAGAAAGAAATCTGAGTGGGGGGTTGTTATGGAGTGAATTGTGTCCCTCGCAAAAATTCATATGGTAAAGACCTCACTCCCAATAGCTCAGAACGTGACTGTGTTTGGAGATAGGATTTTTAAAAATTTTTTAAAAAATGTCTATTGATTTATTTTGAGACAGAGAGAGAGAGAGAGAACAAGCAGGGGAGGGGCAGAGAGAGAGAGAGAGAGAGAGAGGGAGAGAGAGAATCCCAAGGCGGCTCCGTGCAGTCAGTGCAGAGCCCAGCGTGGGGCTCGATCTCACGGGTCGGATTGTGAGATCGTGACCCGAGCTGATATCAGGAGTCAGATGCTTAACCCACTGAGCATCCCTGGCATCCCGGAGATGGGAGTTTTAAAGAGGTAACTAGGTTAAACTGAGGTCATTGGGGGAGGGGGGCTGATTCAATATGACTGGTGTCCTTATGAGAAGAAGAGTTTTGGACACAGCCGTGCACAAAGGGCCGACCGTGCGAAGATACGGGATAAAGATGGCCATCTACCAGCCTGGCAGAGGCCTCAGAAGAAACCAATGCTGCCAGCACTTTGATCCTAGATTTCTTGCTCCAGAAACATGAGAAAATGAATTTCTGCCCTTTAAGCCCCCGTTATGGAAGCTCTAGCAAACTCATATGGGATTTTTTTTTTCTTATTTTCAAAGCAATGGGTATTTAAAGAGGAGAGTTGCATAGTCAAACTTACGCTTCAGGGAAACAGGTGTAGCCATGGTATATAAGGGGAGGAAGGAGGCAGCGCCTGGAGACCGGGAGATCGTGAGAAGGCTATCGCATTTGTCTTCGGAAGGGTAGCTGACGACACTCGCTTGGGGAGTAGCGTGTGGGTGGAGAAGAGGCTAGGGATATGGCCTCCGCGATGGGAATGCGACTCCCAAGGTTTGGTCACAAACTGAACGCTGGAGGAGAGGGAACTAGAGAGTTAGACGTGTTTTAGATTTTTCTAACATGTTAACCAGGAGGATGGGGTACCAAAAGGGGACTCTTGACTACGAGTGACAAAAATAACCCAGTTCAAATTAGCTCAGGAAACACGGAGTCAGTTAGCTGATGTCATTGTGAAATCCAGGGGCGGGGTGGGGGGCGGGGAGCCACCGATTTTCCACAGCCCTGGTTTCAGGTGTTCAGAGGCTGTCGTTAGTGCCTGACCCTCCTTCTGTCTTGGCTTCGCTTCCTTTGTGTGTCTTGTCTTCCTTCCATGTTTTCTGTGCGGCCGGGAAAGGCGGTTACGCCATCCTGACAGTTGATGACCTAAGAAGAGACCCTCCAGCTGCCTCTCCATACTCATACGCCAACTCCTGCTGAGGTCAGGTGCTAAGTCTTTGGTCCCATCGGTGTGAGCCGGAAGATGCGACACTGCCCATGGGTGAAAGCTTGGTCATGCCTCCTCCCGGTCGGGCTAAGCGGGGAAACCGACTGGCAGTCCCACTAGACGAAAAGGCAGTAGTCTGCCAGCGAAAACCGAGACGCGGGGCAGACAGAAACAGGAGATACCCACGCCAGCGAGTTTGGGTTTGGATATTTTACGTTTGGACACGTCAACATCGAGTCACGGCTGGGGTGCGGGGAAGGTGCGGCGACGGAGAGCTCGGCGATAGCCTGGGTTCCGCGCTCAAGAGAGGGAGGTCACCCCCACAGAGGCTGCGGTGAGGACCACTGTCGTGGGTATGTGTTCCGAAAGGGAGAGTGGCCGTGGGCAACAAGGGCTGAGGGAGTGACTGAAACGTTAGGGAATTTCTACGTTTGGTAAAAGAGAAAAGGAAGAAAATACAGGAGCAGTTGGAGAGGACAGGCTGTGCAGAGCATGTAAATTTATGGAAGCCAAGTGAGCACAGTGTTTCAAGGAGGGAGTGATAATGAGTAGACTTCAGAGGCAGAGGCGGATGACCGAGGAAAGACGGGAGATTAGTAGATACTTCGGGGCTGACGGTGTCCTCCTAATGCCTTTGGGGATAATGAGCAGTGCCACTGGAGAATGGCTACATTTTTTTTAAGTGTTTACTTATTTTTGAGAGAGAGAGAGAGAGAGAGGGTGGGGGAGGAGCAGAGAGAGAGGAGGACAGAGGATCCGAAGCGGGCTCTGTGCTGACGGCAGCGAACAAGATGCGGGGTTCAAACCCACAGACCGTGAGATCATGACCTGAGCCCACGTCGGACGCTCCACGAATTGAGCCACCCAAAGTGCCCAAGAATGGTTACGTTTCTACAACTTCCATTTTGAGGGGCAACCATCACCGACAAAGTTCATGGGCAGGGCAAGGTATTCGGATGTGGACTCAGAGCTTTCAACTTTAGGGGCATGTTAGTAAGAGATTGTGCGAACTCGTCGAGGTATCCTCAACTAGCTTATGAGGAAACTGAGGCCCAGAGGCGGCCACGGCTTGCGTGAGACCCCCTTGGGGTCTGGTAGAAGAATGAGGGTGGCCAACCAAAGCCTTGAACCCGGGAGAGCACACAACCCTAGGCTTCCCGCGCTGGGGCCTGCCTCTACACCAGGAG